ATAATTATAGTAGTGCATACTCACTTTACAATTTGAAATTTTGCCTGTGATGGCGTCCTCATTTTACTTTTAAATTCTTGAAAATGGTACCTCGAAGTTTCAAACATGTCGACTATGTCAAGTTTCTTATTTCTTCTTAATCAGATGCAGTGTAATATATTGATTAGATGGTTAATTTATTAAATTAATTCTAATATTAACTGTATTAGACTATTTTGGTAGTACATAAATATACAGGGTGTCCAAAAGGGTTAGTGCCAAACTTGTACTATCTCTAATATATTTAAGACTGTTAGTACGAGAATTAAAAATTGTTACATACAGTTATACATAAAGAGAGATAAAAGTATTTTGATTTGAACTGATATCTTGAGAGAAAGAGCTATGTTAATCATAAATATGTTGTTCTAACTTTGTTCGTACTAATTTTAATTGCCAATTAAATTAAAGTTGGAAATTCGTTAATATCTTTTATTAACAAAGTCTTTACGCATGGAGCTAACGACTATACTAATAATGAAATGCTTGCCCTACTGTATTGCTAACAATTGCGAAGCATTTATTTTATGTTATACTGGTGAATATATTACTTCCTAGGTAAGGGGTGAAAATATCGAAATTCAGAGAATAGGGAATATTTTTCAAATGGTCTGCGCAGTTGATCGAAATGAAATTTGGCGATGTTACAGTGAAAAGGTGGTGCGGGGGGGGGGGGGGCCATGTACACAAACATCTCATCGTTATCGATTATACTCGCACTTGTGGATAGAAATGAATACCAATATCTTCCACGTTTTCAACAGTTGACAAATTAATATATTTAGGTAATAATGTTTAAATATTTACAACAATTCTCAATAAACTATTTTAATGCTGCTGATTCATTGCGTTGGCAAATCAACCAATAATAACAATTATCAGGTATGGATAACAATGTTTTCACGTATTGCTTTTATTCGAATGTTCTAGATGTGAGTAATGTAGATTATTTTTTATTACTTTTACTATTTTATAAATCAGTTGAATTGCTAATATAATCAGCCTTCAACCTTGAAAAATAGTACAAGCGTGTATTATTCAATAAAAAACTTTCTATGTGCAAATAAAAAGAATTTTGTTGTTATAACTTAAGGGGTTATATTTAAATTGTAATAAGAAATGTGGATTTTCTGCTAATTATATATTTAATTTTACATACAAATAAAAAAATATACTTATTGTTGTTGGATTGAATTGACGGACACGGGTTTTTTAAAGACAGAAACAAACGAACATATATATGTATATTTGACAATATGAGATGATACAAAATTGAAAACAGTATTTATTTCTCTCAACGTACTAGTCCACAACACGGTTAACTCGCGACTGTCGCATGAGACAGGTAATGCCTACAGCCCAACGACACTTCTGTCACGGGACTAGTTTGCAACGGCGAAAAATAAGAATAACTATGCCTCTATACGAGATACTATCCGTAGAGTAGGTATACTGTAAGAGAAGTGACACGTAAACAGAATTTGAGAAGAACTGACTATATTTAGGTTTTGGGATATATACAGTAACTCACGAAAACATTCGGACACTTAGATATGCCTAAATTAATCACTTAGTATCGCAGATACTTATACACAGATCGTATTCGTTATTTATTTTGTGGATAAGATATTTATTTAAGTTGAGAAAACCATGTGTTTTATTTAATAAATTCATATGGATTTACTGTAACAAATTATAAATAAAATAATACCCTATTTTCACGTCAGAAAAATATTCGGACACTTGGCACAAATAACATTATATAACCCTAATTTATTTATATAAACACATTTTCTAATATTTTGTCGCATAGCCTCTTTATTTCAATACGTGTTTCAATCTGTTGGGCATATTAAAAAATGATTTTTTCCAAATAATTCGTACCGATAGTAGCCCACTCTTCCAGCAATTTTTGTTTCAGTTCCTCTTTTGAGTTAATTACCGTCTTTCGTATTCTGCGATCTAACTTATCCATAAATTTTCAATCTGATTGGGATCTGCTGATTGTGGTGGAGGATGAAGAACTTTCGAGCAACAATGAAGCAAGAATTCTTCAACAATGCGTGCTTTATGTTAGGGGTCGTTACCCTGATAAAACTTAAAATTGTTGCGAATTCCCATTTTTTTTGCACTATTTAATAAATTATTTTTTAGTAGGTGTGAGTGACAGTTTTTGTCCATGATGGTGTCAATAAAAACTAAATTGCCAATTCCTCTGGTCGAAATACAGCCCCAAACCATCACGCCACCTCCGCCGTGTCTTACGGTGTCTCTCGTATTTTGATGGTGGAACTCTTTATTCGCCTTCCGCCACACCATTCCTTTTCTCTCTGAATTATGGATGATAATGGAATGCAAGTTCATCCCGAAACAATTCGGAGAACTCTTAAGCAACACGGGTGCAACATATCTGCGATACGATGTGATTAATTTAGGCATACCTTGGTGTCCGAATATTTTTGTGAGTCACAGTATATATTCTTGCTCTCTTATGCTAGGTGGTTTGGAACGTGTTGTATCGTGTAGTTTGGTGGTTTGGTCATCGGATGGTAATTCGTATTAGCTGTCGTCACAGGGTTGCGTCTTGGAATTTGGAACTGTAGTCACCTGCTGATTCATGTTGGAGTTTGGAGTCTTCCTTACCTTTCCTTACTTATCGTGGGCTATCGTCACACTTCTAACGTTTTTTTCTTTCGCCATCGGTTGCTCACTCGTTATAGCTGGGATTTTTGAATTTCTATGGCCCGGAATTGTACATAATTGATTTATTTTAATAAGACGCAATAATTTGTAATACTTCAGACATTTTGAAGGTAAAATTCGTCATTGATTACGATGATATCATGTAGCATATTAGCATAAAATAAGTGTCATTTTAAACTTGATATATTTTTGAAGGTAAAATTTGTGGGGATGTTTAGCTTTTAAGTTGGCATGAATGAGAGGTGATGCGTGGTGACGAGTGAATGATTATTAAATTTATTTTAAAGTTATTTCAAACAAGATTTACTAGTTAGGATTAATAAACGAGTTTTCGAAAGCTATCGTTTATGTTTCTGAAATCGATTCAAAAACTGAAAAATAAAAGAAGCGCAAAGAACAAGGGAGTGTGTGTCTGACCGTGTGGTGCGTGAATATACCTTTGGCGCGTGAGAATGTGCGATGAATAATAATCTAGAACTGTTGTGAGAATCCTTGTAAAAATTAATATTCTTATTAAATAGTTTAATAAGTGACACCGTCAAGTTTTCATTATCCACCACAAAATTCGCCATTGATTACGATGATATCATGTAGCATATTAGCATAAAATAAGTGTCATTTTAAACTTGATATTCCATAACTATTAAATTTATTTTAAAGTTATTTCAAAGAAGGTTTACTAGTTAGGATTAATAAACGAGTTTTCGAAAGCTATCGTTTATGTTTCTGAAATCGATTCTTTTCATATCACGATAAACTTTGGTAGGTTATTCAAGATCTATTGAAGCTGAAGGTAGGAGATAACACGAATTGCAGCCATGAATACATTTATAAGGCCTTATTCTGTAGGTACTCTGAAAAATGATTAACGAGGACATCACTGTTTAGCGCACGAGCAACTTTAGTATATTTTAGCATATTTTATTATTCAAATTAATATAAAAATGATTTGGTTCTCTATGTTTGTAGATTGTGAAACCTTCGACATCATATATGTTGGTACTTCTCGTAGCCTATTGAGGGATGCAATAAATCTATTAGAATGTAGTTTACTTTGATGGAGAATTATCGACGATATAAGTATACGATTAAATCAACTTAAAAAATTGTTTATCAAATAATTATGCTAATACGAATAGATAATGCTTTCGTTGTACGAGTAAAAATGTTTCGTCGTATATAGCAACAAACATATTTAATAACAGGAAGGAAATTAAAATTTCATACAGAATTATACTATTTGTAATTGTCCACCTGTTTAAAGTGTGGTAGTGGTTGTCATAGAATGTGTGGTTTGAGTGTGAGGAATGTTTGCGTGGAAGGATGTGTGTGTGACGAGTATGACAGATAGTCGCGAAAAACAATCAGTAGGTGATAGACGTTGTGTGTGAAAGAGTCGTCGAGAGATTATATCGCAGTTAAAAGCGAATTTAATTTACGAGATTTAGTAATAATTTATATTATGTTGTTATTGTGTTAAATAAATCTTCTTATTAGTTTATCCATTTACTCGCATAAAGAAGTTATTACTAGAAAGACAATGTATCGGAGAAGGTATTTTTAATAAATTATTCGTTCCAAATAAACGTTACAGTGTAAATGATTAAATTGATAACTGGCGAATATCCTCTTCTCAAGTAGACTCAGTTTCGAATTTTTATTTTCGCCTTCATATCATTATTAACGTACTATTAGCAACCGACAATATATATATATAAACGTACTTTACGTCCCCCACCATAGTTTGAAGTCGGTTCGTCGCATGTATCCCCGCGGTTGGCGTATCTAAGGAAGGGATGCGTTTCGTCCCGGGCCGGCTAGCGGACTCATCAGTAAGGCTTGCTTAGCAGGCCCTTGCCTTAGAGACTGAGGATGCTATTGGAAAGACGGGAAGTTATATATATAGGAAACTGGGAGTTTCCCGAGGACTTGCGGGAAAGCCCTAGAAGGCGGAATTCATCTAGTGGCGAGGGCGAGAATGATGGTCGCTACACAATATATCTGTGAAATATAAAAATTAATAAATAATATTTGATAGATTTTTAATTATACGAAATGTCATTGTTTCAACATTTATTTCTTTTCACTAACAACATTGATATTTCGCCAGAAGTGTTATATTGTAACCAAACTTTAAACACATTTGTCACACAGAATGCTTCGTTACAGGTTGTAACTGTAACGAGTAAGCATTATAATAAGCATTATTATATTCAATAATATGAATAAGTATTATTTCGAATGTGATTAAAATGCATTCATGAAGAATTCTTTCCTAGCAAAACACGTGCAGCGGTGATGATAGAGAAGGCATTGGACAGATACTAAAACATTATCATGTTCATTACTGATATACCACATCTCGTTAATTTATTTGTCGAGATTAACAATCAAACGTTCACCTTACCGAGCAATAGTAACGCAAAGAAAGTTCAGGCAATATGCACGGGACAGAGAAAACGACTGGTTTCTGGTATGCTAATACAATCAGTAAATCCTTTTGCATTTCCAGTGTCAGATCGAACCATCTTAATTCGTATGCACTTTGTGAAACGTATGTGCTCTAAGAATAATAGAAGATTAACCATACTTAAGAAAATCGAGAGGACCAATTTCATAGAAGCAGTAGAACATGATTTACCAGATCCATCATGTGATTAGCTGACCAAGCGTACACGTAAATTTCCGTGAGTACAGTTACACATGAAATTATGAATTGTAGCTTCACGATTACTGATACATTCTGATTACAAATAGCATCTTTAGTTTAATATACTACATACAAAACTTGATAAAAGTCACTTACCATGAGCATTATTAGAGCACATAGAGTCAGGGCAAATGTGCTTATTGCTATGGCATAGATTATGATGAATCGAAAATTCTTGATGATCTCTTCCGCGTATCTGGGGAAAAATAACACTCATGAATGAAATGTGTCAGTTAATACAGAGGTTAACGACATGAACAGTTTTTTCAATTCCATTATGCATGATATTGAATGTATTTCAGTGCTTTGCAGACGAATATAGCAATACACCCCTAATTCTCTTCTTACGCGATAGATACGTTCCCGAAGAATACGTATAAAAAAAATTCGTGTAAAAAAATAATTGCATCTATGGAAAAATGGAAGATTGATACCAGTCCCAAGAAATCAGAAAAAATAATTCAATAAATCATGAGTTTTCATGTTAGGATCTTAAACATGATACTTAATAAAGATTGCACATGTATCATATAAAGTAAATTATCATTTGAAAAGGAAAAAAAAACATGTCGCTAATTCATGAACACAATAATTAGGCAAGATAATATGAGTTACACATACAAAGATTTTATTCGTTGTCACTTATATTTTAATTATGTTGTCACATATTGTAGGCTAAGGGGTTAATAAAACAAAGGTTTTAAAACTATAATTTACCATTTATTGACTTTTACGCAAAATTAATTCCTCGTCGCCAATGTCGCAGTTATAAAAATAAAAGTGAAGCAAAATTTTCTTCTTAGAATATGGGTCGATCGTGTTAAATCAAAATAAGTCGTGTAAAAAGAGAATTAAATTTTTTTCCTAATTCGAGTTAAATCAAAATCGTGTAAAAACAGAATTAGGCGTACATGACAATATTTTCACTGATTAGATTAATGTATCTTAATGAATATTGTAGCGAAAAATGTTTCTATTTTCCCTGTCAGTGTTGTGGATATTTTTTTACTAGAAGAATTTCCGTCGCATTATCATTTCCAATCATTTACTGAACGGTTATCCATTGAATTGCAGTTTCTCGATTTCAAAAGTTTCAATTTACAACTTACCATCGTCCAAAATTAAGATAAGTTGTCACTTATTGTAAACTAGCTGTTTAGGGTACTCCTTTTCAGTCAAAAAGTTCCCGACCACTTTCCAAATCCGTGTTCTGCATAATGTTAAGCTATGTGCTCTATGAAGCAACAACAATGAACTTTCTTTTGCCTGTCATTGTTGCACGTTTCAAACAGAGTTCAATGAATACTCATTTACAGGAACATTTTATTTACATTGTAGCAATATGATGCGAGGAATAGGTATGATTGGCTTGGGCTCCAGGACTTGCATGCGTACTCTAAATAGTGTATGCAGCAAAATAGTAGCGAACTCTATTATTTCTCAGTGTTTTTTGAGTAATTTAGGAATGGTGCGATTAAAAATCAAATTTTATATTCTCTTTATTATTATGACTTTGTTCCAATATTCGTAATTCACTCGTAAATCCACTTTCGTAAATTCACTTTTCATCACGTCATTTTAAACAACTTGAATTCAACGTGCACATGCCATTTCTTGAGATGAACGAATGATATAAACAAATCCATTCATATGTACGTGTTATCGGCCTAATCCGTATATGCGAAGACCAATGTAGGGTGCATGGGAGTGAGGTTGTAAGACCAACGTGTGTAAAGAATCCGACTCGAAATTACCAACGATTGGGTAGAATTCAGATTGAATGTTCCAATGATTGGACCGTGTTACAGAAGCCTCGATGTGACTGTGCCTGTGTCGATTATATAGCCAATAACCACTGAACCGTGAACAGATTGATTTGGAAGCGACGTGGCTCATTCCCTGAATGAAATACAATAATGATTTGTTTGGAGCGATGTGTTCGCTTTTGATAATTCTCAACAATTGACGATCTTTCGGAGCCAAAAAGTGATTACCAATTGTTAAAGGAGAAGTGTTTTTCTGATCGACAGTTTTTCGGACCAAGGTGATGGGTCCTTCACCTTGGGACGAATCAGTCTTCCCAAAGAAGGGACAAACGTCCTTCACGACTTCGTCGCTGATAGAGGAAACCTCACCTGTAGAGAGAGGTTAGGGGGTCAATCGTACGTTCGAGACCCTTATTGAGAGGTGACTACAGTGAAGTTACCTTTAATTAGTTTCTTCGATAGTCGTAAGCAACGTACATGGCTTGGTCTTGTCTTTTACGGGTCTATTGTCAGCCAAATCTTAATGCTGTTACCTGATTCTCTAAAGTTAAGCTAGCCCGGGGATATAAAAGGAGTATTGCAAAAATGTACAATAAAGAAATAAAAATAGAAAGTACCGGATGTAAAATGAGTCAGCATTTAGGATCTTCTAGGCCTAATTTCTGACTCGTGATGGGACAGTGTAAAATATTAAATCCTAAACAACGTGGAAGTCCGCATAGAGCATACTATATTGTAGTATCGCAAGTTTTGCACTGCATGTACACGCAGCTTTACGAAAGTTACCGAGGTACATATTTGGTCATGTTGGGGAGGCATTGGAAAACGCGTGCAAGCTGTGCATGTTGGAAAGAAGAATATAAAAGGGCATGGTCGGTCTAAGTCAGAATTGCAATAAGAGAGTTGTCGATTAGGGAGTTGTAATAGAAGAGTTGTTAGTTGCCAGAGTTGTTGTTTCTGCTATTTGTGAGTTGTAGGAGGAGAGTTGCTGCAGAGGTGTAGGTGGAGCGTTGTGATAAGTTGTAATAATTCGTATCTATACCGATACTCGCATACTCTATCACTGTTAATGTATTCTCAAATAAATAAATAGATATATATCAACAACCAAATCCGCTTCCACAATATGAAACATCAAGATAGTGTAGCTCATTGTTCCTTCAGTGAAGACACAGATTCATGTTTACCTTCTCAAACGTATTTGTTTGTTAAGACAAACGACGAGCATGCGAACGTTTGTGATCTTCTGTAACTCTATAGCCAGACACTCGAATTTCGCTGACGTGTACCAGAAAAGAAGCGCTCCAAACAAGCTTATGCACATATGCGCGGCACACTGGTAACTTAGGATAAGCTGATGCATGTACAATATTACTCTCACTGGCGTGTAATCAACGCGAAACGAATATTCCGCTTCTGATGGGAAAGAGTTGGGCAGGAACATAGGTCCTGCCGAGAAAGTAGTTGCGGTCAGGTACATACACACCATCGAACTACCGTAGAAGGTGTAATACTTCTTAATATACTTGTAGAAGATCGCCCTTTCGTACTGCTTAGCCTCTTTAACATTGATCATCATTTCCTCGACTATATACTGTAACCTTTAATTAATGATCATACCTTCTTATGTCGAATGCAGAGATAGAACGAAGGAGAACTTACTTGTATGGAATCGTAGTTGATTAAGCATATAATGGTCTGAATAATGAATTGGATCAAAACTGATCCCAGGCAAAAACATTTAAAAGCGATGATGACGTTGTTTGTGTGCACATATGCCGAGTACAACAGAGGCAGAAGTAACAAGCTAGCACTGATGATACTAACGATCTGTAGAAGTTTGTATCCCAAGGTTTTGATTTTGCTGCTGTTGGCAGGAAGTGGCCAACAGAAAGTCAGGGCTACGCTCAGCCAAATAATGTTAATGACTCTTTCTAGCGTTAGTTGCTTCGACATAATCTTTGTAAATTGTTTGGCTGGTGAATCGAACGAAGTATCTGATAGGTGTAATAGAAGGATAGGCGCTGATTGTTGGGTGTCACAGTAATATTACATTGCTTCGAATACAGCTGAATGTACGTAGACGTCGCTTATATAAGAGTATCTTGTTCGTAACGAGTATTTAATAAATGATACACAGTACATCACCAAACGACGTATCGGTTAACGATTTCTATGGAAGTGTTTCCTGTGCTATTAACTGACTCGTGCTATGATAATTATTTGGCTGCATTATACATCGGTGTATAGACAGGTGTAGAGGGAAGTTACCACGCAGTAGGGCTACTACTTATTATGGTAACATAGCAACGTTTGTTCTGAAAGAAAGCATTGTATGTGTTTATTGCGATGTACAGTCAGTCAGTTATTAAAGTGCTTCCTTGGGGTACGTTTGAAAGGCAGATCGTGATTCTCTCTACGTGTTGTCCTGTCATTGGCGATATAAAATGAAAGTGAACGATTTTACGTGATGAAATTAGGCGAGGACTTCGAAAAAATATTTATCTATGTGGCTTCGTTTAAAGAAAAATTATTTAAAATATTATACCTAACTCTGTTCTCGATGCCGCGAGTTTCACCATAAATCGTTCATTATTATTTGTATGAATATTTCTAGTTCCATCAATTATTTCTTGTTAGTTTTGCTAGTTATTATAAATACTTAATATTTCTCAGCCTAATCGATATTGCTGCATACAATAGGCGCAATGCGTCAAATTTATGAATCCTATTCTTATTAAAATGGAATGTCGTGTGGACAAATTTTATTCCGCTTCTCGTTATCATTCATTATTTTTTGTTAAATAAAATTCTTATCCTTGGTATCACTACGTACAGGATAACCTGTATTTTCTTAGAACTGCTATTCTTGTATAGTTGTTGAGGTTGACGGTTGAATCGGTATCTGGGAAATCGTAAGTGGCTAGTTTAAATATAACTATATGTATTGTGTGCTTGGAAGTGAAAAGGTGTCGCCTGGAAAGAATGTGTGTTTACTTCGTCATAACGTAAATAGTGCATACTTCATTGTAGAATTATAAATATTATAAACGAAAGGGAATTATATATCATTGCCTGACGGAAAGTACAATTGATATATATCAAGACTGAGTGGAACAGAGGAATACGGAGCAACACAAAGCATTAACATAAACATTAACCCTTTCACTTTCAGTCGCCATTTAATCAGATTCGAAATATCGATGTTAATTAATATATCAAATTTAAAATTACTCAACAATGCGTGGAACGTTGAAATAAAATAATTCAACATCGTAATTTGCATTCGACTTCTTATTTACCGTTCTAAAAATATCCTCGACTTTACGACGAAAGAAAGTTCTCGAATTACTGTTTTTCTGTAACGAAAAAATCGCCGAGTGCAAAGGGTTAAGACAGTAGAAAATGTGATCGTGAAATAAAAAATATACCGATGCAATTTATTCTACTAGTTGAACGAATATCGTCAAGGATCTAGAAATGAAAATTTTGCAAGTGTCATAGATAGAGTCTTCCTTGCTGCACAATATAGATACAGCTTGAGATTTCGTTTTTTTTTATTTGAAAAGAATTCACGAAGACGTGGGCATTGATATTTGAATAATTTTTTACTTGACGATTCGAAGTAAATAGTTACTATTAACTATAATAAAATCATATTTTTTTATAAAAGGATCTGTTCTCGTTATTGCAGAATTCGAAATTATACTTAAATGAGCATATTGAAAATTGTCAGGCCTCAACTTGCTAACATGTTGATCGTAATTGAAAGAATAAAGTGTTTAATAACGAATGAACTGTTCATGTTGCTATTTAGTATGCTTCGTCTGCTTTCCATGATCCTGTAATTCAGGAAACAATTAAACCCCTATGTATATATTCTATATATGTATATAAATCCTATATGCATAGGTAGATGTTTAAATCTGTTCCCAAAGTGCGTGTTTTCACTACTTTAATTGCGTTTGTCAACTATTTACCCGCATTGGAATAAATAAACAATTATAATTGAATAAATGTAGGACGTTTGCACGAGTTAAACATTGTTTCGATAAATCCACAAGTAATTAAAGGATCCGAAATGAAAAATGTTTATGAAAGTTAAAAAATGGACAACAGTATCTATTGTTATGATCAATTATCATCTTGATCTTTATTTCTAAATAAAATTGCAAATGCAACTTAACGAACTACAAAAATAAAGGATAATAATTAATGACGAATTGAAAATTTGTAGGAAAACTTGTATGTGAAACCAACAAATTGTCAACCTTTGCGAAGACATGATCGATAATGAAGAGGATACGATTAATTATTAAGCAAGTATATAATATTATTGAGTTTTTTTCAATCTGTTTGAAATTAATCTTCAAGAAATCAATTTTTACATATGCAGATATGCATTCGTGTGGCTAAAGTTGTGTGTTTTTCTTATAATCTATAATGATTGTACCTATTAACGCATTCTGACAAGCAAATGAAACGAAACTTAAAAGAAAATTACAGGGGATTAGTGTCCTACTATTTTCTTTTCAAAATCTATTCTATTTTTAAGGACGGTCTATTTTTATTGGCTGAGAAAATGACAGATTTTTTATCGTGATATGCAATGCAGTAATTGCAATAACATAACGATGCATATAGCGTACTATGACGTACATTTGTTGACACTAAAATTACCAAAGGTTCAAAATGACTTGTTTTAGATATTTCATTTTTATAGCGTCTAAAATCATATTGCTGCTTTTGATCAAATTAATTTTTATTTTTACTCCCATAGAAATGTATATAATTATAGAAATAAATATATATATATCATAATATACAGGGTCTCCCAGCAATGGTATTACAATCGGGAAGGGGGTCATTCTATTGCAGAAACGAATCGAAAGAAAAGAAATAAAATTTTTCGATTCGAAACTTCCTTTTTGGGAAAATTGACTTTGAATATTCATCGAGTGCGTGCGCATTTAGCTTTGACTTATATGGACAGACCATCCATACATTAATATTGGTGGCAATATCGAGGGGGGTATAATTCTACATAGAAAAACATTCATCTTGAATATTCAAAGCCAATTTTCTCGGAACCAAGCTTCGAATAACATCCTGTATATAAATAAGTTTAACAAAATATATACACGAATAAATATATAATAATAATATGCATGTGTATGTAATACTGTATAGTAGATATACTACTAGTATAGTACTAGTATATATAAACTACTAATATATATTTTACATATTACAAAACAAGGAAAAGTAATTAATAATAGTAAAGTTAAATTTCGAGGTGCAGCAAATGTAGTACATGTGCATATTAAACTAGTGAGAATATCGTTGATCCAAATCTTTGAGATTTTAGGATCTATTTCAGACAATGCAAAATATTTTCTTCGATATCTTTATATTTATTCTACCTCTGCTCTAAATAGCTAGTAACTTTTGTATCCTGCAATGAAATACATCTGTAAATTTTACTACATTAACTAGACTATTAATATTATATAACAGTACACGGAGAGTTTCACACTAACACTGAACACTATCATTACATAGAGAATTTTTAGTCGAAATAATGGACCTCATTTTTAACAAACCTTGAAATATTTTCAAATTCAACTATTGTTTTTATACCTGAAGTACGAAATGATGCTTTATAAAAGTTATTTTACTCCATATATAGTATTTACGATTACAACCATAGTTATTGCAGTGTTTACTGTAATTATAGACAAAATAGGAAACCTGCCAGATCAACAGATTTCTCTCGCATACCTAAATATTAAAATTATATAAATTACATACAATTATACACGATGCGTACAATCAGTATAGGAATAATACTGAAGAAACATGAAATAATATGACTTCTTTTTTACAAGCTTGATGCTTGATGCAGTATAGTATATGCATATTGTATAATACTATAAAAGTTGAGCCGTAATTGCCAATGTAGAGGGTAAGTAAAGATACGTCGGTGCAACGGTAACGAGAAGATGGCATAAATGTGAAAATTGCTTCTGAAACAACATTTCGTGCAGTTTTTGTTCACATCTGGTATCATAAAATTCTAATGAAATTTCGTAGGATTTGTTTTCGTATTCAAGATATATCGGTTTAATGCTTTGTAAGTTGATAGTTATTTAGTTACATAAAAGTGGCTCATGATAAACGGAGCATAATACGTATAATTATATTCGACATATCGGGGTTCAAAACTCAATCAAAATTGTGTACCTACAAAATTGGAAAGAGTACTTTTACTTTGGAATGAGTACTTCTATTGCTGAAGATAAGCATTATTAAACAATTATTAATAATATTAAAATTATTAAGAAATATATCATTAAGATTACTAAAAAGTTATTGATGATATTAAAATTATTTAAAAAATATTAAAATTATTAAAAATGTTTTTGTAATACTTCAACGGTAAAATAAGTTTCTGTTTAAGTCTCATTCTTTTACCTATCTCCTATAAAGAAAAAAAGTACGTTTGCATAAAGACAGACCATGAGAGAATGAAGTCCATCACAGATTTAATATTCTCTGTAATTTCACGTAAGAAATTGCTCTTACGCTTGCTCTGTCTTATTTTTTTTCTCGCCTTCTTTGTCCCACCCTTTTTTTTATTTTAGTTCCTCTTCTTCTCCCTTCTCCAAGCCTCGTCTGGGTTTATCGACCGATGTGTCCTTGAACTTGAGCCATCCGAACACCCCTCATGGCTAGACTACCCTCGACCAAACTCGATTCCCGAATTCGGGGTGCACGAGGCTGCGGCCAACAACCTTACTGCAAAATGGCTTGTTTGGAGAGGCAGCCATTGTTGGTGACATATGTATCTATTATTTACAACGTCCTTCAAATCTCGTGAATCATTATATTTCTGAGAAAAATAATTAATTAATTCCTTCGTTCCATTGTATTAATTACTATCTTTTTATGAGAAG